TCCCCTTCTTCTTCGGTGCAGGTAAATTCGTCCTCTTGGTGTCCTTGGTGGCAGCAGCAGCCTTGTCATCGTGCTTATAGGAGCACTTGTCACCTCGTCTGCACTTGCCTTGAGCATGGTAGATGCAAGGGGTCTTTGCCATTTCTTCTTTTGACATCTTCTTCCCCTTATCATCCTTATTCCCTTTTGAGGGTGATCGTGTTCTGTTTCTTCGGGGTGATTGAGTGCGCGACTTGTCATCCTGCACATGTTTGAACGGACACTTCTTCCCCTTATCGCATTGGCCTGTCTGGAACTTATAGCAAACTTGGTCACCTTTGCCCCTTTCTTGAGACCTACATCGACTTGGGGAACACTTTCGATTGGGGTGGCCACGGCCATCACCTTTGGCGGGCGCAGCTTTCGTGTCCTTCGGGCCACCAGCCTTGTTCTTCTCGGTAATGCGATTGCGGTTTTCTCTCACTCTTTCCCGGTAAATCAGGTTCTTCATGGACTGAAGGAGAAAACTGTAAGACTTTTCATGGGCCTTTTCGGATGCACGGTCAAACACCTCAATGTCATACTTCAGCAACTGGCTAGGACGGATCTGCCTAAGAAGGATGTCCCGCAACACAGCACCTTCCGGGGTCGTTGCCATGCCTGCTAGAGTAGCATCCCACCTGTTGACAAACCTTCTCAAGTCCTGGACCGTGTCACCTACTTTGACAATACCCAACAGATCTTCAACCCTGTAAAGGCTACCTGCTTCTTCTGGTGTTATGAAGTAGTCTTCAAACATGAGCAAAACATATCGTCCCCTAACTTGGATACCTTTTCGGGATTGCTGCTCTTTAAAGTTCAGAATCCTAGTGGCAAGGCCCCCTCCGGCTGAGCGCGTGAGCGCTGCTGATAGCTGTATATCCAGCGTCAGGAATTTCCCAGGATCCTGGAGCTTCTGCTCAAGCTGTTCACGGGGTGCAAGACTGATCGTACACCTCGTTCAGCCAAGCCCATGCTTCGTCTGGACGATCAGAACGGCTTCACACTTCATCCCGTATGTGATCTTTCCAATTTCTATATGATTCCGGAGCTGGCATATGATTCAATTTGATGACTTCAGCTTCCTTATTAGTCTTTGGTTTATCCTTTTCATCCCTTTGGGTTAAGGCTTTCACCAATTCAATCAGATCTGAAGCTCCCATCGCTTGTTGTTGTTTGCCAACACTCTTTGGGGAATCATTTAATTTGGGGGAGTCTTGATTGGCTCGGTTGGTGTCATGAACCCTGACTGCATCGGCAACTGAGGCTTGGTGTTACCACCAGCTGGCTCAAGAGGAGTACTGCTACCTTAGACCTTTGAGCAGCTCGTCCATTCTAGCCTTGGCCTCTTGCGCCAACACGCCGGGCGACTTAATCTCCATGATCGGCTCTTCATCTGCTTTATTGGCGGATGCATCGGGTGCTCTCGGAGTGCTGATATTGAAGTTCGGCACACCAGCGATGGTGGCTGGCTGAGCGCTTTGGACGGATGCTTTCGGAACTACATGACTGTGCTTTGGCAATATGATTCAGCAAGTCATCGAGGTCCTGAAGGCTAAGGTTTTGTGCCGCTTCATTGAGCTTTTCCGACATTTCCCGCTTATATGTTTCAAACTCTGCTTTGATCTGAATGTATCAGGCTTGCTCTATGGCACTATGGCAGCTTGTTCTTCGCATTGTTTCTTCGCGGCAATGTAGGCATTTCTAGCATGTTCTACCGTTTGGGCGTATGAGGCTTCGAATTCCTTTGTGATACGTTGCCTCTCCTCAATGATCTTTTGATCATGCCTTGCATTTGCCTCTGCCTTGAACTCTTCAACCTTTGCATCACCTGTAGCACGAGCCTGATTCCATCTGACCTCGAATTCACCACCGCGCTTTCTTTCATCAGCTAACGCCGCTGTTGCTTTCACTTCAACCTCTTGCAACCTTTGCTCATACACCCGTTCCTCCTTTGCCAGTTTGTTTGACCACTCATTTCTGATTGAATCAACTACACCCTGCATTATCTCGAGATACCTCTGTTCAGCTTCCCTCATGACCTGGATGGTGTTTCCACTGGTGATCTGGGAAAGGTTCTGTTGTATGAATGTGAAGTAATGTTTGCATCTGATTAGTGTGAGGCCCCCCCCTAAACAATTTGAGGATACTCTATAACTCGCACTTTTTTTTGCCCCCCCTCAACATTTTTTTGGTCAATCAACTTAAGAAAGGATTTCAATTTACTTTCAATTGATTTCAATTGATTTCAATTCACTTTTAATTTACTTTCAGTTGATTTCACTTGATTTCAATTCACTTTTAATTTACTTTGGAATTTACTTTCAATTGATTTCAATTGATTTCAATTTACTTTTAATCTACTTTCAATTTACTTTCAACTGATTTCAATTTACTTTTAATTTAATTAATTACTTTCAATTTACTTTCAATTGGTTTCAATTTACTTTAAATTTACTGTCAATTTACTTTCAATTGATTTCAATTTACTTTTAATTTACTTTCAATTGATTCCAAATTACTTTTAATTTACTTTCAATTTACTTTCAATTGATTTCAATTTACTTTCAATTGATTTCAATTTACTTTTAATTTACTTTCATTTTTTTTCACTAAAAGAAGTTGGTGCTCACAATAGAGTACCATCCAAACAATTATATTATTGAGTAACTGAGCCACTCATGAGGTACACCTTTGAAAAATTGTCTGGGTGCTGTTTTTAAATAAGGGTTTAATAAGGCATCTAATTATTTGGGAAACCTTGCATTTTAAAGTTTTAACACAATATGGCTTTCTAAAGTAAAGGGACCAGCTTTACCCAAAGAAATGTGGAGAAATGGTTTTGCTTTTTTTTCACTCCAAAAAGTTGGTGCTCACAATAGAGTACCATCCAAACAATTATACTATTCAGTAACTGAGCCATTCATGAGGTACCCCTTTGAAAAATTGTCTAGATGCTGTTTTTTAATAAGGGTTTAATAAGGCATCTAATTATTTGGGGAACCTTGCATTTTAAAGTTTTAACACAAATTTGGCTTTCTAAAGTAAAGGGACCAGCTTTACGCAATGAAAGGTGGAGAAAGGGTTTTGCTTTTTTTTCACTCGCAAAAGTTGGTGCTCACAATAGAGTACCATCAAAAAAATTATGTTATTGAGTAACTGAGCCACTCATGAGGTACACCTTTGAAAAATTGTCTGGGTGCTGTTTTTTAATAAGGGTTTAATAAGGCATCTAATTATTTGGGGAACCTTGCATTTTAAAGCTTTAACACAAATATGGCTTTCTACAGTAAAGGGGCCAGCTTTACCCAAAGAAAGGTGGAGAAAGGGTTTTGCGTTTTTTTCACTCCCAAAAGTTGGTGCTCACAAAAGAGTACCATCCAAACAATTATCTTATTGAGTAACTGAGCCACTCATGAGGTACCCCCTTGAAAAATTGTCTGGATGCTGTTTTTTAATAAGGGTTTAATAAGGCATCTAATTATTTGGGAAACCTTGCGTTTTAAAGTTTTAACACAAATTTGGCTTTCTAACGTGAAAGGACCAGCTTTACCCAAAGAAAGGTGGAGAAAGGGTTTTGCTTTTTTTTCACTCCCAAAAGTTGGTGCTCACAATAGAGTACCATCCAAACAATTATATTATTGAGTAACTGAGCCACTCATGAGGTACCCCCTTGAAAAATTGTCTGGATGCTGTGTTTTTAATAAGGGTTTGATAAGGCATCTAAAATAGAATTAAAAATAAACAGAAATAGAAAAAATAGTTTTTTAAAAAAATAAAGTTAAAGCATTTGGAAAAAATCAAAATTGAAAAAAAATGGAAAAATCTCACAATAGAGGCCCCCCCCAACAATTAGCATGTGACTGAATTAGGAGCAAGAAATTTCTCACAATAGTACCATCTCTTTAATCGGGTGCAAACATTATGCAACAACCGGTTGATAGATGACATCTTCATCCATGGGCTCGGAGTCTTCTCCGGCTGTGTTTGGCACAGCAACGGGTGGACCTGACCCTGGGATGGCGAGCGGAAGGTCTGATGGGGTCCCTAGTAGAGACTACGGCTGATAACCTGTATTTTACCAGGTCAGCCAAGAATGGGGTAAATACAACAACTAACCGTTAAGCTGCTAGTCCTTTTGAACCAACGCTTCAAGGTAGTCACATGATGTACATGGAACCTGGGTTTTACTGGAGGAGTTTGTACAGTCATGAACATTGTTGCACGTGTTTTAAGTAGGAGTAGTATCATTGTGATGAATATTGTTGCTACCATCGTTATCATTACTAGTACTTATATGTAATTACAAATTTACTATTATTGTTATAACTACAGTACTGTCATTATTTGGATGCTTGAACATCATGATTCTGTGGCCCATGGGGAATCATCTCCAGCATTGATTTTAAATTAAACCGGTTTAATAAACCGAAGCCCCAGCCACAAACCTCAAACTCTAAAACTTCGCCTGACAAGGGAAGAACAATTCAATTCTGACTCTGGATTTCGGGTTGGAAGACCAATTCACCCATCCCGGTGTGGCAAACATTGCGAATTGAGCCCCGAAGTAACGTTTGACCTGGATACATATACAATCATATACATACATTTGTACAATCATGTGGTATTCCCCTCCTCTTGGCAAAAATCGAACAATGATCACGAGAACCTGTAATTCCACCCCGGAATCCATGATGACTCTTTCCCTCTTCATCACCTATGGCACGTTAACTTTTTCTCTGCTGCATGGATTTCCAGTTCACAGACCCTATTTCTTCTCGTCGACAACCGGTCGGAGTCATACTGAGAAGAATTTCGTCTGGCTTTGCCGAGCTCAGTCACAACAAATCGGAGTATACTGGATTTTCAAGTAATAGGTGTCCCAGAAAATGGCCGGCCGATGACGTATTTTAATGCTTCATGACTTATGACCATGTACAGTAGTCGTTACTGTGACCATTTATGACATATAGATACATATGGTTGAACTTTCAAACTCGGCATTTGCACTCAAGTCAGTAAATCGATACGCTGCAGGAGGTTTCCGCAGCGTGTACCGGTGTCATCCAATATCACCATGAGCAGGATGTCGTGGCTGGTGCTTCATGGTGCTTCTCAATCTTGTGTCACAGCTTTAGAACACAAGCCTACAATCTGGGCACTGGTCTTGACGGAATCTTGTCTCACCATTAAACCGAGTCTCAGGACTGCACCGTCCCAACCACTGCATAGAAGTCACGCCAGCTTTGGACGCTTCCTCACATTCACATTGGCAGTTGCTGCATTCCTGAGATTCGAACGATCAAACGTCTTCAAACGTTTGCCATGCTGACAAAAGATATTAATGAATAGTTCAAACTCAAATACCGTCCCCAGGACTATGTGGTACAGTTGACTTTAATGACAAGTCCAGTTAACATAGACCCGGGCAAGCCGGCTGCGGAAGTTTCCCAAACATAAATGACCTATAGTTCAAAGACAACCTGTCCCGACCGTGTCCTTCCCTCGACACTCCACACCTCACACTGCACACTGCACTCTTCGCACTCCACACTTCACACTCCACACTTCACACTTCACACTCCACACTTCTCACTTCTCACTGCTTCCTTCACACTCCAAACCTCACACTTCACACTTCACACTGCGCTCTTCGCACTCCAAACTTAAACTTCACACTCCACACTGCACACTCCACACTTCACACTTCTCACTTCCCACTGCTTCCTTCACACTTCACACTTCACACTGCACTCTTTACGCCCCACACTTCACACTGCTCTAAACCTACGTGGAACAAAAAAACACTAATGCGACAAAATGGAGAAAATCTGCTGACAAATCACTGTGGCAGCCTTCATGCAGCCACTCCAAGACGATTTACGAGATCCAGCTGCAAAAGACAATAGTATTACGAATGCAGCCACAGCACGAAGCAACCTTGACGCAGCCATTAAATGCGATCTGCAGAGACTGAGTTGCAAAACGCAATAGAACTACGCACAACGGCGTCGGAAATTGTAGCTCCAAAACCGGATCTCGACGCCAGAGCGAAAAAAAGACGATTTTGAAGCACTTTTTAAAAGGATTTTTAGAAGGAAAATCACTAGCGCCAAAATGGAGAAAATCTGCTAACAAATCCATTTCGCAGCCTTCATGCAGCCACTCCAAAACGATTTACGAAGTCCAGCTGCAAAAGACAATAGTATTACGCATACAGCCAAAGCAGGAAGCAACCTTGACGCAGCCATTACAATGCGATCTGCAGAGACTGAGTTGCAAAACACAATAGAACTACGCGCAACGGCGTCAGAAATTGTAGCTCCAAAACCGGATCTCCACGCCAGAGCGAAAAAAAAGACGATTTTGAAGCACTTTTTGAAAGGATTTTTAGAAGGAAAATCACTAGCGCCAAAATGGAGAAAATCTGCTGACAAATCACTGTCGCAGCCTTCATGCAGCCACTCCAATACGATTTCCGAGATCCAGCTGCACAATATCAGCCACCAGCACCACTTGCAATCCCATTTACATTGCGGGAACGATCCTACAGTTGCAAGTCACAATGGAATTCTGTCCACCGCGCATGCACGAAAAACACTTGAAACCCCATTTACAATGCGGAACCGATCCGACCATGATCCGACCATGATCCGAACATGATCCGAGCATGATCCGAGAATGATCCGACCATACACGAGACCGTCTCGCAACCGTCGCACCGCAGAGGTAGATCATCGAGGTTCGGGGACGGACTTTGTATGGAAAAACATAGGGTTTCGTGCATCTGCTATCTCTCAAAAACGCATTTCGTGCGAGACTTCCTCCAAAACTCCATCGGCAACTCCTCCACCAGCACCACTTGCAATCCCATTTACAATGAGGGAACGATCCTAGAGTTGCAAATCACAATGGAATTCCATCGGCAACTCATCCACCAGCACCACTTGCAATCCCATTTACATTGCAGGAACGATCCTACAGTTACAAATCACAATGGAATTCTGTCGACCGCAAATGCACGAAACACAGGTGAAACCCCATTTACAATGCGGAACCGATCCGAACATGATCCGAGCATGATCCGAACATGATCCGACCACACACGAGACCGTCTCGCAACCGTCGCACCGCAGAGGTAGATCATCGAGGTTCGGGGACGGACTTTGTATGGAAAAACATAGGGTTTCGTGCATCTGCTATCTCTCAACAACGCATTTCGTGCGAGACTTCCTTCAAAACTCCATCGGCAACTCCTCCACCAGCACCACTTGCAATCCCATTTACAGTGAGGGAACAATTTCTTTGCTAACTCTTTCTGTGACTAACTCTTTTCCTCACTAACTCTTTCTTTGACTAACTCTTTCCCTGACTAACTGTTTCTTTGCTAACTCTTTCTTTGACTACATCATATATCCTGACTAACTCTTTCTTTGACTAACTCTTTCCCTCACTAACTCTTTCTTTGACTGACTCTTTCCCTCACTAACTCTTTCTTTGACTAACTCTTTCCCTCACTAACTCTTTCTTTGACTAACTCGTTCCCTGACTAACTGTGTCTTTGACTAACTCTTTCTTTGACTAACTCTTTCCCTGACGAACTCTTTCTTTGCTAACCCTTTCTGTGACTAACTCTTTCCCTCACTAACTCTTTCTTTGACTAACTCTTTCCCTGACTAACTGTTTCTTTGCTAACTCTTTCTTTGACTAACTCTTTCCCTCACTAACTCTTTCTTTGACTAACTCTTTCCCTCACTAACTCTTTCTTTGACTAACTCTTTCCCTGACTAACTGTTTCCCTCACTAACTCTTTCTTTGACTAACTCTTCTTTGACTAACTCTTTCTTTGACTAACTCTTTCCCTCACTAACTCTTTCTTTGACTAACTCTTTCCCTGACTAACTGTTTCTTTGCTAACTCTTTCTTTGACTAACTCTTTCCCTCACTCACTCTTTCTTTGACGAACTCTTTCTTTGACTAACTCTTTCCCTGACGAACTCTTTCTTTGCTAACTCTTTCCCTCACTAACTCTTTCTTTGACTAACTCTTTCCCTCACTAACTCTTTCTTTGACTAACTCTTTCCCTCACTAACTCTTTCTTTGACTAACTCTTTCCCTGACTAACTGTTTCTTTGACTAACTCTTTCTTTGGCTAACTCTTTCCCTGACGAACTCTTTCTTTGCTAACTCTTTCTGTGACTAACTCTTTCCCTCACTAACTCTTTCTTTGACTAACTCTTTCCCTGACATTCTAAAAGTCCGTAACACGGAAGTTTCTCCCCCTAAACTTCCTTTGATGAACGGTCACCTCGGATATTATCCCATAAACTGCGGGGTGTTTATCTGTTGGTTACACTGCATCGCTGCCGGTGCCTCAGAGCACTTCACTCCAGAGGCTTCTCCCTGCATAGAGATTTGAAGTCACCAAGCAAAATCATCCACACAACTTCTTAATGAATCTGCGTAGGGAACATTACCCTTGTCTCTACACTATCGACATTGTACTTTTAAAATCTTTGTGATTTTTATATTTCTATATGTTCCTATATATTTCTATATATTTCTATTTATATATGTCTATATAATTCTATATATGTCTATATATTTCTATATATTTATATTTATGTCTATATATTTTTTTAATTATGTCTATATATTTCTATATCTTTCTATATTGTGTTGTGTTCGCCACAGATTTCTGTTCCCATTTTCTGCTCGTAGACACCGATCCCAGATCAAGCCTGCAGCAGCAAGGCATTGAAACGAAGAAAGCCTCGCAAACGGAAAGCTGCCGCAAGTCGCAAGTCATCGGAAGAGCAATGTGGTGTGCGGAAAATATAAGCACCGACGGGTCAGCAAAATTCGAAAATGAAAATTCTAGAAATATGTCGACATGAACATTTGGTGGGAAAACCATCCAAACCGAGGCCACTACTCCGAGCCCCTCCAGCATGTCCTGTCAAAAAAAAATTGAATGCAGAATCTCAGTCTAAGAAATGTCCCTTCCCAGGTCTGAGTCCTGGAGGATCTCGCAGATGCCCTGACAGCACTGTGATATTTTGTGATGTCACTATCATCTTGGTCTTGTCATTGGGTCATTGGGTGCATGAAACTGGACGCGTTGTTGAAACTCCAAGAGAATTCATGACTACAGCGGTATGGCACTCGCAACATTTCATCGCACACTTGAATGGCCTGCATGTACGGCCATGATCGGTGTATTGAAGCTGCATCAAACATGTCCCGCGAAGCAGGAGATGAAAAATCGTGAAGAATCCCATGAATCAAGAGATGAATCCAGAGAATCCGCCCCAGAACGCAGTTCCCGGCCTTCGGCTTGGGTTTCCAAGCGTTAAAGGCATTTTCCTTCAGCGCTGTCTCTTCTTGACCATCCAGGCCAGTGGCGCAAAAACGCCAGGTCGTGATGGCCGCCTTCAAGGTCATTTTGTCATTCCGGACCTCTATTTCATCCAGGTCCACCCAGGGGCATTTGCTGAATCTTGGCTTGTTCTTCAACATTGGCTCATACTGCAGCACTTCCCCGAAGCGCACTGTTCTGCTACCAATCAGTTTCCGCTTGATGGCCCCAAGTATCTTTTTTCGCATGGGTGGCAACTGAATGCCCAACGCCAGCAAAAATGCATCGTTGACGCGTCGAAGTCCACCTTGTTTCACCACCTCCTCAAGGCCTGACTGGAACCGAGCACCGAGTTTCTCCCTCTGAGCCCACTCTGTGAGCTCCTTCACACTGCAGCACTCCTGCAGTCCGGCAATTGGACAGCGAGATGTGAACCTCGCTGGGATTGCACATGGTGCTTTCACGTTTTACAATGTTTTATAAATTTCACTTGGGCTGCACATGTTCTCGATGTTTTACGTGTTTTGATTTCAAGGTCATGTAAAATAAAGTACTGCATCTGTATATATATATATATACATGTATACACATATATATATATGCATTAAATTATATACCATATATGGTTATTAAATTTTGTCAAATTACTAGATTTAGTTTTTTTATATAAATTGAAATAATATCAAATAATATATATATATATATATTGAACTACTGTGTTTCTACTGTCTAATCTATTTGTTATATAATTAATACATATCATCTATATTTAAAAATACATTCTATGTGATATATCAAATATCATATACCAGCAAAGCCTGGGCAAGCCGGGTGACGGAAGTTTAGCCATTCCAGTGCAAAATGCAAGCTCGGGTCACTAATTAAACACACTGGCACAGCGCATTCAATCCTTCAAAGATCACCTCCGCACAGTGCTGATAATGGGGACCGCTCGAGCGCAAAACGAAAGAAAGCGGCACCCGTCGCACAAACAATTTCCTCACATCGCCAGCGGGAGCCAATTTGTGCGAGAAAACAAAAAGTTTCTTGCGATCCTCACCGTCCAGCGTCGCCTAAACGAAACAATTCCAGCGCCCACCAACCAACCAGCAATATCCAGCAATCACAAACATGGTGATGTGATGATGTGGCGATGATGTGATGTGATGTGATGCGATTTGATGTGATGATGTGATGATGTGATGTGGTGATATGGTGATGTGGCGATGCGGTGATGTGGTGATGTGGTGATGTGGTGATGTGACGTGGGGTGTGATGTGGGGTGTGATGTGGGGTGTGATGTGGGGTGTGATGTGGGGATGTGATGTGGGGATGTGATGTGGGGTGTGATGTGGGGATGTGATGTGGGGATGTGATGTGGGGATGGGGGCATGTGGTGATGCGGTGATGCGGTGATGTGGTGATGCGGTGATTCAGTGATGTGGTGATGCGGTGATGTGGTGATGGGTTGCTGCGGTGATGTGGGGATGCGAGGATGTGGGGATGTGGGGGTGTGGGGATGCGGCGATGTGGCGATGTGGGGATGCTGTGGTGACGTGGTGATTTTGGCGACGGTGGTGACGGTGGTGACGGTGGTGATGGTGGTGGTGTGGTGACGCGGTGATGTGGTGATGTGGTGATGGTGGTGATGGAACTGCTGCGGTGACGGCCATGTGGTGATGATGTGGTGATGTGGTGATGTGGTGATGTGGTGATGTGGTGATGTGGTGAGGTGGGGATGTGGGGATGTGGGGATGTGGGGATGTGGTGATGGCGTGGTGATGGCGTGGTGATGTTGTGATGTTGTCATGGGGTGATGTGGTGATGTGGCGGTGATGTGGTGATGTGGCGGTGATGTGGTGATGGTGTGATGTGACGTGGTGTCGTGGTGTCGTGGTGATTGCGCTGATGTGGTGATGTGCAAATGGCGGTGATGCGGTGATGTGGTGATGTGGTGATTGTGATGATTGTGATGGCTGAGCTTCTTCGATTGTTTGAGAATTCGTGAAGCGGAGTTTCAGACTTCTACGCTTCCTTTGATTTTAGCTGGTACACCAGATACTACAAAATAAGTGTTACATATTGCATTCTTGTTATCATTTACCAGTATCTATCTATCTATCTATCTATCTATCTGTCTATCTATCTATCTATCTATCTATCTATCTATTTATCTATATATATATATATTGACACATGTGCTTTTTATCTTGCATGTTGAGAATTTTTTCTGTATACTGAACATTACATACTACAAAAAACATGTACATATAAATTGTGTATTTTACATGGCACACTATACATTAAAGACATATACCTTTGAATAAATGCATATATCTTACATGTTACTTACTAAAGATTACTCGTTGTACTGTTTTTTATGCAGACGGTTAAAAATTATACATACATGATACATTGCATCTTAAATACTACTTCGTAAAATATGTTTATATAAAATGCATGATATATCAAAGCTTATTTGCACAATAATTTTATATGATGCATGATACATCATACAGCGTACATCATACTTGATACAATATGCATTTTACATTATGAATTATACATTACACCTTGCACGATTTACACTATGCATTGCATACTGTTTTCATTAATATGTGGTGAATCCAATATTAAATAATAACATGAGGTGTGATGTATTTTCAACTACTAACTCATATGTTACTTAATGTCTATTTTCACTATGTGTTGTTTTACATTAGAAGTTAAATGAGATGGTTTACACATATATATATATATATGTGTATATATTGAATATATATATATATAGATATAGATATATATATATTGAATATTGAAATCCAAAATCATGTGTTATATAGTAAATGTTTCAAACCCATGTTTGTGCGTTATAACAAAAAATTTGCCTCGTTTAAATTATGTTCCTTTTCTTAAAATCTTATTCCCCACATCACTGTGTGGGGTTCTTGTTTTATGCTTGGATCCCGCCGCTGCCGCGTCCCCGTCCGCGTCCGCCCGACACAACACTCATCACTGCAACACTTATCACATCTCACTCATCCCAGCACAACTACACCACTTATCACATCTCACTTATCACACACCCCTCATCACTACACCACCTATCACCTACACCACTTTTCACATCATCTCACTCACCACTTATCACTTCTCACTCATCACACCACTCATCACTACACCACTTCTCACATCTCACTCATCACACCCACTTATCACACCACTCATCGCTGGGCCGCGGCTGCCTTTCGCGTGGCAGGCGCAGTACACAGAGCCTCCAGGACAAGCTGCGGCGCGCGTGGCCGCCGCTGGGCCGCGGCTGGCTGTCGTGTGGCAGGCGCAGTACACAGAGACTCCAGGAGGAGCTGCGGCGCGCATCGCCGCCGCTGGGCCGCGGCTGCCTTTCGTGTGGCAGGCGCAGTACACGGAGCCACCTGGAAGACCACTTTGTCACACCACTTTGTCACACACCATCTTTCGTACACCATCTTTCACTCACACCATCTTTCACACACCATCTTTCACACACAACTTTGTCACACACCATCTTTCACACAGCGCCAGCGGGAGCCAATTTGTGCGAGAAAACAAAAAGTTTCCTGCGATCCTCACCGTCCAGCGTCGCCTAAACGAAACAATTCCAGCGCCCACCAACCAACCAGCAATATCCAGCAATCACAAACATGGTGATGTGATGATGTGGCGATGATGTGATGTGATGTGATGCGATTTGATGTGATGATGTGATGATGTGATGTGGTGATATGGTGATGTGGCGATGCGGTGATGTGGTGATGTGGTGATGTGGTGATGTGACGTGGGGTGTGATGTGGGGTGTGATGTGGGGTGTGATGTGGGGTGTGATGTGGGGATGTGATGTGGGGATGTGATGTGGGGTGTGATGTGGGGATGTGATGTGGGGATGTGATGTGGGGATGGGGGCATGTGGTGATGCGGTGATGCGGTGATGTGGTGATGTGGTGATTCAGTGATGTGGTGATGCGGTGATGCGGTGATGTGGTGATGGGTTGCTGCGGTGATGTGGGGATGCGAGGATGTGGGGATGTGGGGGTGTGGGGATGCGGCGATGTGGCGATGTGGAGATGCTGTGGTGACGTGGTGATTTTGGCGACGGTGGTGACGGTGGTGATGGTGGTGGTGTGGTGATGCGGTGATGTGGTGATGTGGAGATGGTGGTGATGGAACTGCTGCGGTGACGGCCATGTGGTGATGTGGTGATGTGGTGATGTGGGGATGTGGGGATGTGGGGATGTGGTGATGTGGTGATGGCGTGGTGATGGCGTGGTGATGGGGTGGTGATGTTGTGATGTTGTCATGGGCTGATGTGGTGATGGTGTGATGTGACGTGGTGTCGTGGTGATTGCGCTGATGTGGTGATGTGCAAATGGCGGTGATGCGGTGATGTGGTGATGTGGTGATTGTGATGATTGTGATGGCTGAGCTTCTTCGATTGTTTGGGAATTCGTGAAGCGGAGTTTCAGACTTCTACGCTTCCTTTGATTTTAGCTGGTACACCAGATACTACAAAATAAGTGTTACATATTGCATTCTTGTTATCATTTACCAGTATTTATCTATCTATCTATCTATCTGTCTATCTATCTGTCTATCTATTTATCTATATATATATATATATTGACACATGTGCTTTTTATCTTGCATGTTGAGAATTTTTACTGTATACTGAACATTACATACTACAAAAAACATGTACATATAAATTGTGTATTTTACATGGCACACTATACATTAAAGACATATACCTTTGAATAAATGCATATATCTTACATGTTACTTACTAAAGATTACTCGTTGTACTGTTTTTTATGCAGACGGTTAAAAATTATACATACATGATACATTGCATCTTAAATACTACTTCGTAAAATCCGCCCACACCGCTTTGGCGGTGAAGGCGTGCTTATTGGGGGGCAAAACAGCAACACTAAATGCTCAATGACATTTGTTAATATAGCAGTCGCTATATCAGCTTTAGCTGGGGGGGGGGGCCAAAAACGGTTTCGCACCGAGACCAGAATACGGTGGTGTTTTCGACATTTTTCGAGATTTTTGGGTGTCTGAGCGCAAGAGGGTATTGAAATGGAATTTTGGGTCATTTTGGTAGCTTTCCGGCAATGGAAAAACGGCCAAAAATGAAAAAAACATTGTACATAGCAAGATTTTGCAGGGTTTTTGGGTGCCAGAGCATTGAAAACACTGCAAAAACAAGTGTTTTGGACTGACGTTATAGCAAAAAACGTGTAAATTACCGTACTGTGCTTGATTTACTGGCAAAAAACGTGTAAATTACCGTATGCTTGACTGGAAACATTACAAAAACACTGTCAAAAGCAATGTTTTGGAAGGATTTACTGCCTTTATGGCAAAAAACGTGTAAATTACCGTCTGTTTGACTGGAAACATTGGAAAAACACTGTCAAAAACAATGTTTTGGAAGGATTTCTTTTATATATATATATATATGTTGGAGTTGGCTACCGGCATTGGAACATGGAAAAATTGAAGAAAACACTGTAAATAGCGGTATTTTCAACGGTTGGGGAGATAAGGGAATTGGAAGCATTGTTGAACATGATGTTTTCGACCGGTTTTATGGCGACAAAAGTGTAAAGTACCGTGCTTTGAAGGAAACCATTGCAAAAACATGGAAACACATTCAAAGAACACGGGATTTGGGGGACTATCTAGGCGTCGTTGTCTAGCTATTTGAAATTCCGCAGCTTGGAGAGCCTCCAAGGGAGGGAAAAGTGAAAATTCCATAGCTTGGAGAGCCTCCAAGGGAGGGAAAAGTGAAAATTCCATAGCTTGGGAAGCTGTCACGGCGGGGAAAAGTGAAAATTCCCTAGCTTGGGGAGCCCCCACGGGTGGGAAAAGTGAAAATTCCCTAGCTTGGGGAGCCCCCACGGGGGGAAAAGTGAAAATTCCCTAGCTTGGGGAGCCCCCACGGGGGGGAAAAGTGAAAATTCCCTAGCTTGGGGAGCCCCCACGGGGGAGAAAAGTGAAAATTCCCTAGCTTGGGGAGCCCCCACGGGGGGGAAAAGTGAAAATTCCCTAGCTTGGGGAGCCCCCACGGGGGGGGGAAAGTGAAAATTCTTAGCTTGGGGAGCCCCCACGGGGGAAAACCACCCTTCGCCCCTCTCACGGACCGAAATAAACCTGCGGTGTGGGCGGCCACCGCGCGAGGCGGGGTGAATATGTTTATATAAAATGCATGATATATCAAAGCTTATTTGCACAATAATTTTATATGATGCATGATACATCATACAGCGTACATCATACTTGATACAATATGCATTTTACATTATGAATTATACATTACACTTTGCACGATTTACACTATGCATTGCATACTGTTTTCATTAATATGTGGTGAATCCAATATTAAATAATAACATGAGGTGTGATGTATTTTCAACTACTAACTCATATGTTACTTAATGTCTATTTTCACTATGTGTTGTTTTACATTAGAAGTTAAATGAGATGGTTTACACACATATATATATATATATATATATGTGTATATATTGAATGTATATATATATAGATAATAGATATATATATATATATATTGAATATTGAAATCCAAAATCATGTGTTATATAGTAAATGTTTCAAACCCATGTTTGTGTGTTATAACAAAAAATTTGCCTCGTTTAAATTATGTTCCTTTTCTTAAAATCTTATTCCCCACATCACTGTGTGGGGTTCTTGTTTTATGCTTGGATCCCGCCGCTGCCGCGTCCCCGTCCGCGTCCGCCCGGCCTGTCCCCACCTCATCACACAACACTCATCACTGCAACACTTATCACATCTCACTCATCCCAGCACAACTACACCACTTATCACATCTCACTTATCACACACCCCTCATCACTACACCACCTATCACCTTCACCACTTTTCACATCATCTCACTCACCACTTATCACTTCTCACTCATCACACCACTCATCACTACACCACTTCTCACATCTCACTCATCACACCCACTTATCACACCACTCATCGCTGGGCCGCGGCTGCCTTTCGCGTGGCAGGCGCAGTACACAGAGCCTCCAGGACAAGCTGCGGCGCGCGTGGCCGCCGCTGGGCCGCGGCTGGCTGTCGTGTGGCAGGCGCAGTACACAGAGACTCCAGGAGGAGCTGCGGCGCGCATCGCCGCCGCTGGGCCGCGGCTGCCTTTCGTGTGGCAGGCGCAGTACACAGAGCCACCTGGAAGACCACTTTGTCACACCACTTTGTCACACACCATCTTTCGTACACCATCTTTCACTCACACCATCTTTCACACACCATCTTTCACACACAACTTTGTCACAGACCATCTTTCACACACCATCTTTCACACACATCATCTCTCTCACACACAACTTTGTCACACACCATCTTTCACACACCACTTTGTCACACACCATCTTTCACACAACGTTTTAACACACCATGTTGCACACACCACTTTGTCAAACACCATCTTTCACACACCATCTTTGACGCCACATCTTTGACACACACCATCTTTCACACACCGTCACAGGCCATCTTTCACACACCACTTTGTCACACAACATCTTTGACACACCATCTTTCACACACAACTTTGTCACACACCATCTTTGTCACACACCATCTTTCACCACACCATCTTTCACACACACACGCAACTTTGTCACACACCATCTTTCCTCCACCTCCTCCTTTGTCTTTCCTTCCTTCCCCGTCCCCGGTACAACATGTCTTGTTCATTATTGGAAGAAGTTGACTTGTGGGGTTATCCGGTCCTTCTATTGCTCATTTAGTCGACATTATACATTAAATGTATTATACTATGTTACGTACTTTAAAAATATAAATGATGCATATATATATATATCTGTCTATCTTTCTATCTTTCTATCTATCTGTCTATCTACCTATCTATCTACCTATCTATCTATCTATCTATCTGTCTATCTATCTATCTATCTATCTATCTATTATGTAAATACGATTTATACTATATTTGAAATATTGTAAAATATATGCAATATACTGTGCAAAAAAATAATCTATGTTGAATACATTGCATATCAAATATCACGTCCTATAAACTAAATTTTAAAACGGATTTATTTGCGTCATTATAAAAAAGGCGAGAAAAGTAGAAGAAAGGAAAGCAAAGCCTCGGAGCAACACAGTGATAACAACACGAAGCCGTGCAGAAGAGCCCCAAGTAAAGTTGAAACAAGTACTAGACTGTGCCCAAGAAACAATGAAACGCCTACGGGACACATGGAAAAAGTGGGAAACGAAGTATATCAGGCACATCTACATATGCAATGACACAGTCCCAATGTTCCCCCCAAATGCCACTTTCTCAAACTGCGCAGCTCGTCCTCTGAACCCTCAGGACCAACATCCTATGGGATCGGCAGGATCAAATCACATCAGGTCCGAGTGATGTCACCTGTCCTCTTGATTCGTGTGTCACGTGACGTGTCACGTGTCCCTACGATCGTCCACGCAAGTCCTCGAAAGAATCATCGAGAAGTTGTCTGCGTGAGAGCAATTCCTCGAAAGGATCCTGCGTACGGTCGCGGTGCACCCCTCCAACATGTGGCCCTCTCAAACGGCCCGGTTCGTCCTCTGGTGTGTGCTCAGTAGAAGAGCAAGAAGTCAATACGTCCTACGGGTTCAACAGGAATGAGCCCATGCCATGTCACTTCGTTGTTTTGTCCGGCCAGCAGCCTGTCTGAAAAAATGAACCAAAACATCGGATCTGTCTGCCTATCTCTGTTTATCTTTCTCCCTGACTATCTAGTTCTCTCTCTCTCTCTCTCAATCTATATCTCCCTCCCCTGCTCTATGTATTATTCTATCTGTCTATTTATCTATCTCTCTCTCTCTCTCTGTCTGTCTGCCTGTCTCTGTCTGTCTCTGTCTGTCTCTGTCTGTCTCTGTCTATCTCTGTCTGTCTCTGTCTGTCTCTGTCTGTCTCTGTCTGTCTCTGTCTGTCTCTGTCTGTCTCTGCTGTCTCTGTCTGTCTCTGTCTGTCTCTGCCTGCCTGTTTGTCTGTTTGTCTGTTTGTCTCTTTGTCTCTTTCTCTTTCTGTCTGCAATCCAGCGCTATATCTCTCTCTCTCAACCTACCTATCTATCTGTCTATATTTACCTACCTATTGTCATATTGTTCTTTCTTTCCTTCTTTCTTTAGCTATTTACTTCTTTCTTGAGATATTTATTTATGTCTGTCGTTCTTTCGTTCTTTCTGTCTTTTTCTTTCTTTCGTTATATATTTATTTCTTTTTTGTTATGTCCTTTGTTTGTTCTTTTCTTTTCTTTTCTCTTGTTTCTTTCTTTCTTTCTTTTCTTCAGTCTTTGTTCCTGTCTGTCTATCTATCTGTCTATCTATCTGTCTATCTATCTGTCTATCTACCTGGCTGTCTATCTATCTATGTACCTATCTTTCTTTCTTTCTATCCATCCATCTATCTGCATCTCTCCCTCACTATCTATCTAGTTCTCTATCCATGCGCCTGTCACTCTGTCAATCTCTCCCAATATCTGTCTCTTTCTTTCTCTCTGTCCCTCTATCTCTCTCTATCTCTCTCTATCCCTCTCTCTCTCTCTCTCTGTCTTGCTCTCTCTATCTCTCTCCATTTCCATCTCTATCTCTATCTCTTTCTGTGTCTGTCCCTCTATCTATTTTTCATCTCTCCATCTGTCCCTCTATCTGTCTATTCTCCATCTATCCCTCTGTCTATCGTTCTATCTATCTATGTATCCATCTGTCTATCCATCCATCCATCTATCTGTCATTATCTGTCTATCTGAACGGAAGCGATGATGCGAGACTTCCTTTAAAAAAGTGGAAATTGACAGGTCCAAAAGGAAGGAATTCTGCGAGACGTCCTCAAAAAATGGAGGTTCACAGCTCCAATACGAAGAAACTCTGCGAGACTTCCTCAATAAACCGAAGTTGGCAACATCCAAAACGAAGCAATTCTGCGAGACATTCTTCAAAAATGAAGAAAAGTTGAGTGCAGAGCGGGCGGCTTTTTACCAATGCGTTTTGCGATTTTTCCACTCCATCGCTCTAAAGTACTACACCTGCCACGGAAAAGTGAGGGCAAGTCATACGAAGTGCTGCACCTGTCACGCAAAATCATCTTAGCGAACCTGACGATCTGATGCTCCAAAATGCAACCCATCTCAGGAGATCAATGTCCTGACCTCGCAGGATATCTGGTGAAGATGTCTCTTGGTATTTCCCCCGCCACGCAAAATGCATCTTTGCAGATCCTCTTCAAGCATCCCACGCCTGCCATCGTTTTTGGAAGCGCTGCAAAACCCACAAGTTTGGCTCACTTCTAACAAGGCGCAGAATCCATCACCCCTGCTAGGAAAAACGACAAATGACCCTGGCGTGCGTTTGCCATTTTGACTTCGACATGTGCTTCGCGCCACAGCGGCGTACACTTTTTGAACAGCTCAACTTCCAAAAGTGCTCAGCGCTGCGGTGCTTTTAGCGTTATGACTTCGAAATGTGTTTCGCGCCACAGCCCCGTGCACTTCTTCGAGAACTGCCAAAGGTGCTCCAGAGCTGACGTTTCTAACATGCTGGCTTGGAAACACAGCTGCGCCGCGTGCAATTTTTGATTTCTCATTCCACCAGATAGCTCCACACCCGCCGCTTTAGCAAGCCTACCTTTCGACCCTCCGGCACCGGATTGGGAAAAACACAGTGCTTCGCATCTTTTCTACCCTTTCGCACGGGTTGATCTTCTTTGTACTTGCTTTTCTCTGACTCTTGCCACGTTGTTTTTTTAAAGCCACATATGCCATGTTTGTTTTGATAGATTGAACATGATTGAACGATGTCTGTCTCCAAGTCATTCTTAAACCCTATGCACGACACCCCCAAGGCCTTCGCTTCAGCAGTGGACGCTTCAGGGCTAAAAAGGCTTTCCAACTCCTAGCAGATGCAGAATGGTCATTGATTGGTACCAGTTGCCAGTGACAGATCATATCCCGATTGCTGACTTTTTATGCTCTTACTTGCCTCAAGTCTCAAATCTCAACTGCTCATCAAGCTCTTCCCACCTTTTCCGCTTCCATGGCTATGGCGAAGCAACTTATCGAAGGTGGGCAAATCAGAAGGAAACAAAGATGCGACATGAAAAATCATTGCATCATGCCTAGTGCACATCGTCTGATTTTTGATGCCAATGATGCAAGGATGCCGCCTCTGAGCCAGTGGATACCGCGGGTCGGGCTGGACAAAACACATAGCTGACATAGCCGCTAAGCCAAAGAAGAGCTATGTCATCCGTTTAGCCTTGCAGCCGATGATTTTGGGCTCTTAATCGTCCATGACTACCCCAACCAGTCCAGTCACTGATGGTACCTGTGCTCGGCCTTTTCTGGGATGGGACCAGGTCATGTTAAACCACCACCATCCATCACCAAGAAAACTTCACATACGGACGCACAATGTTAAACCACCATCCACCGCGGCTACAACAGAGCATGGCACATATGGACTCACAGGCAGTCACAATCCCAAATCCATTCAAATCCTAACTTCTACTGGTCAATATCAAATACCCATGTATACCTCCAAGTGTCCCTAATTTTGTTGGAAAATATCCCACCGCATCCCACCTGCCAACCTGCTTGGCTCAATTTCCCACATCGCCCCGCCTTGCCGTCCCTGGAGACGTCCATCTTGGAGTGTCCCACCTTCGGCTCATTCCTACTAGGACTACTATGACTGTTATTGTCATAGTTGGTTACTGTCATTGTCACAGTTGTAGTTATTGCTACTGTAATGGTCACCAAACGTAATGTGCTACCTTGGTTCCCTGGGTCCTCTATAAGGTAGGTTTGGGTTATTGAAGACAGAAATAAAACAAAAATAGGGTTGATACTGCAACGCTGTTGCCTTTTGTTTTCCTGGGTTTTCCATGTGTTTCCTTTTTTTTTCCTAATTTTTCTTAAAGATTGCACGCCAAGTATCACGGTGGTATCACGGTGGAACACAATGGAGTACCACAAACTTTGTCAGAAAAAAAACATGTTTTTTTCTCTCTTCACGTTTTGCATATCGCAAAGGACAACGCATTCCAAACGATGGTTTACGTAAAACAAAACTCCAGAAATTATAGTTAATTCAATAATACATGATATATTTTTCTTTTAATGTTTATATGTTTATATAATTTTATTATATTTTATTGATATGCTTTCCTCCTGACAAGAGCAAAAGAGAGGACATATGTCAAAGTTTTGTGTCAATTGTCACAAGTAAGCACAAGTGAACATGTGTCTGTATACCCTGGCCTCGAAACATTGCCATCCAACCTCAGGTGAAGCAAGTGGAGTTGGAATTATGTTATCTAAGATTTTGCATATTCTCGTAGCATTTACAAACACAAGTATCAAACAAAATCCTGAGTTTCGCCTGCAAGGACAACTGTTTTTACCCAAGAACCCTATGATGAGATCAAACACATGATGCTTGACATGTGTTGAAAATCTAATTTGCAGTGGTTGCCAAAGATTGGGGAGACAGAAGTTCTCCATGTAGTGCAACACACTGCATGCAGGCAGCTGGCACAAGTGTGAGACAAAAGTCACTCACACATGACGCAGCCGCAGAAACTCCGATGCAAAAGTCTGGGCAACACTTGACCCAAATTGTGGAGTGTAGCTACCTGACTCCTCTAGCAGGTCCTTCCTCCCGGTGAAACTTCGGCCATCTTCACTTCGAGTCACCAGTTGCTCACCTGACAATTGTTCCCTGGCTGGACAATCTCTGGACAGTTGATTGAAGCACACTCTGTTTGTCCATATCTGCAGCGGCTTCTGAGTGGGGCCAGCAAATGCTCCAAGATAAGTCTTCACACGATGAGCCTTCACAAATGACAACACTGACCTCATAGGAAGACACTTGTGCAAACACGAGTTGTCCGGCTGCTCCAAGCAGACCATGATGCCAATGACACACGACACAAGGAACATCATGGCTGCTACCTGCATGTGGCTATTGCCAGTCCTGACAAATGTCCTTGTGGTGTCTCCCCACCACTGGTTCCAGCCATACCTTTGGCTTTGCGCCAGACATAATATGACAAATGAAGAACAAGGTGGTCCAAGCCAACAAAGACCATGTTCACATATGCTCATGAGCATATCCATCCAGAGACGAAGGCCACATGTGTCGAGACAACTGTGCATATGTGAATGGATGATGTCGAACCCAGCTCCTTCAAAGCCTGCTTTGATCATCTCCTTGGTCAAGTTGGCTGCGCCACACCAGTACTCAACAAAGTGGTGGAGATGATGTGAACACTGGAGCCTGTTGGCAAAAGCACGCTGGCACAGGAGTGACAGCTTCATCGCAAGGTCTGTAACTGGTCGCAGACATGGGTACAGTGAGTCCAGGAGAGGTGGCCACATCTTGATCGCATTCCCACCAGACACATGAAGATCATGTGCCAAGAACCGAGAAAAGGTCTCCATCAGGAACGACGACATTTGTGCACACCTGCAGCAGTCAGGGTGGGCAGCCAGGATAGTTTTGAAGACACTACTAAGTACTACTAAGAAACTAAGACACTACTAAGTTTCTTTGTTACGTTTGTTATTATTCAACAACATGATTATCAACCCTGGCCTGTTGAAGGAAGAGTAGGGCCAGGCATCCTCATAGCCAAATGCAAGAGCTTTAGCACATTTGTCCACAAATGGGTCAATTGGCAAATCAGTGGCAGCTGCAGCTGCTGCATTGACACTTGTTGCCTCATGCATTTCAGTGACACCTGATGCCTCAGTGCCAGTGCCAGAAGAGCCAGCATCATCATGGACATATTTCTTGGTAGCAGCTTCGTCCACCTCTTTGTTTTGCTGACACTTGTTCTTCTTCTGACACTTGTTCTTCTTCGGAGGTGCAAAGCAGAGAAATGGAAGAAAGGGCCACATCATAGTCGCGCTGCTGCTGCTGGCGCCTTTCTGCAACTGCAATTGATTTCCCCATGGCCACTTCAGAGGAGGAGTGAAATTTATACTCAAGATAATAGTCAGTGATCAGTGACCAGTATCCAGTGGAATTTCGAAAATTATGCCATGATTTGATATAACATGGTTTTTTCAACATGAATACAACTACATAGTTGTTTGAAACAGTTTGACATATTCACATAAAAAGCTGCGGGCATGAAACTCAATCTTAAAACAAGTCCAAGACAAGACAAATTCACTCAAAGTCTTGTGCATTCATTCATTCAAACTTGAGGCATTTTTTTAAGCGCAGCAGCATACATGTGCAAGCCATTGCAACACACTTGTTCAAGGACGCTTAGGATACTTAGTAGGAGGAGGCATCTGTGCAATGACCTCTCTTATCACAGCAAGCATGCTGTCTGAGACATGTCCAGGCTGCTGCGCTTGATTCGGATCATCGAGTTCAAAGCCAGGCAAATGTTTTGCCAAATCCCAGCGCTCCCAAGCTTCCTGATGCAACTGCTTCAGTGCCTCTTCCCAGGACATATGTTGAAACGCCTTGGAGCGAGATCCACCTGGTCCATAAGCAGCCCACACTTGTCCCTCTCGAGGCTTGATCTTAAACTTTATGGTGAAGCGGTGGGCCTTTTGGTCCAAGCCAAATGACATTCCTGGAGGTGCCAATCTCTGAAGGATTGCAGGTGTGAAGTGCTCTCTTGGCGACACAAGTACCACATGACGCCTCCTCCCTGCTTCAGCTGCAGCAGGTTCTGCTGGAGGTCCTGCTGCAGGCTCTGCTACAGCCTCTGCTAACGGAGCAGGACCTGCAGCAGGCCCAGCTGCAGCATCAGACACTTCTTCCTCATCCAGCTCCATGTGCAGCGGCTGATTTTCCTCATGTTCCTCCATGTGCGGCGACTGATGTTCTTCATGTTCCTCCATGTGCGGCGACTGATGTTCCTCATGTTGCTCCATGTGCGGCGACTCATGTTCCTCATGTTCCTCCATGTCCGGGGACTGATGTTCCTCATGTTGCTCCATGTGCGGCGAATGTTCCTCATGTTCCTCAGCGACTTCGGGAAGCAGTGCTAAGGGCACAGGCTCAGAAACAGATGGTGCTGGAGGTGGCGCTGGTGCTGACACCTGTTCTGGACGATCGCTGGATTGAGGCTGAACTCCACGGCCTCTGCCTTTGCCTCTGGCTCTGCCTCGTCCTCGTCCCCGACCTCCTCGGCCTCGACCAAATGCTTTGCGAGAGGCAATCTTCTTCTTCTTTTCCTCCTTCTCCTTAGACGAGAATGTTTGAAATTAGTTATTTCTAAAGCTTTCTATTTCACTTCATTTTGACTAATTAATTTGAGAAATCTAGTCAGCAACCAAGATTCATTTTTTTTCTCCTCCTTAATATCTGCCCACTTCCTCTTCATAGCAGTTCGAGGATTGACAAATGTCTTGATGTCGCTAAACTCTTGTGCTTCATCCTTATCCAGCCCCTCCAGCAATGATGCAGCTAGGTCGACATTTGTCACTGCATTATTCTTCTTTGTTTTTTTTTCACTGCTGCTTCCTGACTTTTCACAAACTCTGTGAAAGTTGCATCCCCAAGCCGCTCACAACAGCGGGTAATCAAATCAGCTCGAGACAACTTAACAGGATTGGGCACCCCCAGTGCATCAGCAATGATGACCAAGTCATTGTAAGTCAAATTGACCGACTGGCGAAGGGCTGCCTGTGGCAAGGGTTCAAATGGACGCTGTGGAGACAGTAGTACGCCAACACCTTCCTCCAATGATGCTTCTGCATCTGCTGCTACCCAGTCATTTGGGTTGAATGGAAAGACAAATGACCCCCCAATGGATGGATTGGTGCTGAGCTTGTAGGTTTGAAACCTGTCATGATGACCATGTTCCTCCAACGGCCACACCATAGTTGCCCAAAGTCGATTGCCAAGGCTGAGAACAGTTGTCTCTGTGGACAACTGTGACAGAAGTTGACCAGGAAAACACATGACAGAGTTCAGACCATCCTGCAAGTGCAGCCCAAACTGATCAAAGAAAAGAATATTTTTAAGTAAGTCTATTTGAGAATTGAGGAAACAATGCCAGCAAGCAAAA